CCCCCCCCCGAACGCGGCTCCCAGCTTCTCGGCTGTGCCCTACCCATGAGCATAGCCTTGGACTACTTCATTCCCGAGGGCCTATTCGTCCCGCTGGTGGACTTGGGCCACCTGTCGGTGGGGTATGCCCACAACTCGGTCTCCGCGCGGCTGGACCTCGCGGCCCTCTATCTGCAGGTGGTCCGATCGCCGCTGGAAGCCACCACTCGCACGGCCATCGAGACGGCCATCTTCTGGATGGATCAACTGCTGGCCGCTCCAGCAACCGTATACCTGCTGGGGGTGGCCCTGCCGGCCAGTCTGGTGCTGCTTCAGCTGGGCTTCCGCGCCCCCGGGGCCAGCCTCCGGCCGACGCTTGAGGCCACCTTCTGCCCTGCGGAGGCCGAAGTGCAGGGCCTGGCCGAGGTGACTCCCGCGGCCGAGCCCCCGATGCCCGGACCGGCCTCGCTATGGGAGGATCTTGAGGCGGCCAGCCGGTCGCTAAGCGCGGCCCTGGCTGCCGCTCGGCTGCGCCAGGCTAGCCTCTCACGGACGACGCTCAGCCTGGAGGACATGTCTCTGCTGGCGGAGCAGCTCCCCCGCGAAAGGGGCCCCCCAGTGGCTTCGCCGGGCTCTTCCGTTTGGGCTCCTCGGCCGGACGCCTCCCGCGCGGCCCGAGGCCCTGCTCTCGCGCACCCGGCCGCGGGCCCTGGCCCGAGGAACCCGGGCGTGCTTGCCCTGCCATCGCTGGAGGCCGTGGCCCGGGGGCTTTTCACTGGCGTCATCCTGCTGCGCTTGGCGTGGGACATTGCCTTCGCCGTGGTCCCCTGGCAGGTGAGCTTGGATTGGCTGGCAGCACAAGTGGCAGATCCAATTGCATATGCCCCGGTCAGCCTGCGGCCGCTGGCGACCGTGGCTGGGCTCCTGTGGAAGTTGGCCACCGTGCTCTTTTTCGCGCGCGGCCTGGCCCTGGGAAGCGTGGTGGCCCTGCTGCGATCGGTCCACTGGATTTCCGGAATCCCCGACTCCCGGCGTGGCGACGACTCCTCCTATGGCCGGTACGCCATCCTCCGCCCCGCCTGCCCCGCTCCCTCCTCCGTCCTCTTTGTAGCCGAATGGCACCTGCCAGGGGGCACTCACTGATGCACTGATTGGGACTCTTCTTTCTTTCTTTTGCCTCGGTCTCCCTCCCGCCGGATGTCCTGGGCCCCTCCGGATGGTGCCCTCTCGGCCACCTTGTGACAGGCAAATGGCCGCCTTCTTTGCCTGGGTCATCCTCGGGTATTGTGCGCTGCTGGCGACGGCGGCCCTGCCGCTGCTGCTGCAATCCAGTGCCCTGGTGTCCTTCAGCGTGTCGCGCGCGGTCTTCCCGGCCTCTCCGGCCCCGGCCTCGGGCACATCAACTCGCTGGGGATCGCTGCTGGGCCCGGTGCTCGGGGATGTGATGTCCAAGGAGGCGGCCACGTCCGCCTGGGGCGGGCTGGCGGCCTGCAATCCCGATGGCCAGTCGAGCATGGCCCAAGTGGGCCGGGTGCTGGCACTGGCCAATCGCCTGGGGCTCTCCTCGCGGCTGCTGAGCATGACCGACAGCGCCTTTTCCCTGTCATATCTGGGCCTTGTCAGTCCGCCGACCGTGTATGGCTTGGCGGTGCGTGGGATTCTGTACTTCATCCTGGCCCCGGGGGTGGTGGGCCGCCTGGGTGCGGGCTGGCGCCGGGCTCAGCACCGGCGCCCGGCCACACTAGCCGCTGCTGCCCTGGCTGGAGCGTGTCTGTTGGTGACCGCCACTCGGCTGCTCTCTAGCTTGGCCGACAGCGTGGGCCTGACAACCCCGGCGTGAGGGAGGGGGGCGCGCAGGCACCCGTGCACATTCCTCCCTCCTTGCATCCCCTCTTTCTCTCCTCTCTCTAGTTGGCCATCTCCCCCTCTCCCCGCCCCATCGGAGGCAGGAGGAAGTGGCAAAAAAAAAATAAAAAGACACATGGACCTGGTGTGCCCTGACCTCGGTCTCTCCCGGCTGTCGGCTCCTCCTTTTGTGCGCACATTCGCGTTCGGCGGAATAACACCCCAGTACAAGGAAGGTCACAGGAGAAATGGACGGGTCCTGCCCGCACCTCGGTGGGCGAAGGAAAAGAAAAAAAACAACAACACAGGGCCAGCGAGAGAAACACGCGGCGGCGAAGGAAGCATCGGATCCTGTGCACGAAGGCGTGTGTGTGATATGCACACGCGTGCGCGCGCGCGCGCGCGAACGAAGGGAGAAGCATGCTGAGAAGGGCGCACAAAAAAAAGGGGTAGCGCGGGGGAAGGTGTTTGTGGTCGGTGTCGTGTCTATTGTTGTTGACTGTACGCCGGGCAGGAGAGGCAGCACGCGGAGGGAAAGAGAGAACCACCCGCATGGGGAATGCGTGTGGCGGTCTCTCCTCCTCCGGCACGCACACGCCGCGAGAAGCGCACAGAGAGGGGAATAGATGAGACACCCCCTTCCTCTTTCAAGGAGCCCAGCCACCCAGCAGGACGTGCGTACGCGCGCGTGCGCGTGCGCGCGCACGTGCGACGTGTGACCATCTCAGAGGACACACACGCACACGCACACGCACACGCACACGCACACGCACACGAAGACACACGTCATACAGCAGGGTCACTACGCGCAGGAGAAAGCACATGGTGTGGGTGGCGCGGATCTAGCTATCCCCCGGCCGAGAGAGCCGGGGAACCCCGGTGCGCGAACAGTGGGCGGAAGCCCGCGGAGGGGGGACGCTCCTGGCCTCCTCCTTTCTTCCAAAAAAAAACATAGAGAGAAGATGGAAGGAGGGAGGAGAGAGCGCCCCCTCGCCGGCGGCGTCCACTGTATTCCCCACGCAGTCGGGAAAGCTAGATCGCAAGTGTTTACCCGTCAATCGGCCCCGGGATGTTAGACTCCGCGCTCATGGTCGAGGCAGAGGTAACAGGCCAGAAGGCGAAGAGGCGGGTGTGAATCTGCGATGGGAGGGGGTGGGGGGGGCGCAGAGAGAGGGGGGGGGGGGGGGGGGGGGGGGGGGGGGGGGGGGGGGGGGGGGGGGGGGGGGGGGGGGGGGGGGGGGGGGGGGGGGGGG